TTGTGTTACGCTGCTACAATATGATTGCTTCACAACAAGAAGTTTCAGGTGTTCAAGTGGCATCCTATCTAATGAATTATGATGATCATTATACTACACATACATTCAGAAATCTTTTTCTCATCTCAATTGAAAACTATTTACAAGCCGAACTAAGCAAAGCACGACTCCAGGAAAAAGACATCGACGAAGAGAGACTAGAAGGTAAAATATGCTTAATGATAAAATAGATATTTGATACGAGATATTTTTATTCATGACAACGCCCTTTGATGAAGAACAAGAAGAAGATATAAAACAAACTGAAGAACAGTTTCTATTGGAGCCAACACAAACCAAAAATGGTGCCAGGTTTGTCATGGTCAACACTCGCCCAGACTATGAGTATCGATCACAAGATCTTACTGCATTGTGTTTATATGATTTTGTCAGTCATTTTCACAAGAAACTTATCGACAAATCCGATCACCATTTGATAAAGAATGCGAATGGGTCTGAATGTGAACGACTAGATACAGAAGGAACAAAAATGAATGAACGGTACGCATTTGAGAGTGCACACCCACAATCATCATCACATATCGCCATTAAACACACCAATCCAGTTGTACCAGTTCTCGTTGGACCTCAAATACCACGCAAAGAACGAGAAGAAACACGCGAGCGCTACAGTCGTGCATTGTTAACTTTATTCGTACCATGGAGATCAGTTCACGATCTTTGTATATTGAATCAGACATGGGCTGAGGCATTGGAAGTTCAAAAACCATTGATCTCTCCCGCCTCACTCAAGATTATAGAAAATATACAACTTTTGCATGAATGTAAACACGACCGAGATGAGCACCTTCGTCAAGTGCTTGTAGAAGCACAGAGTGACAATAGCATCGATCCTGTTTTGATACCTAACTACTATGAAGAAGATCAAAATACCGAAGATAATGATCCTGAAGAGCTTTTTCAAATGCTCTCCATCGTAAATGAGGCCACCACAAATGCCTACTCTGCATTAAACGGCAATCAAGAGCAAAGCTACCTCTACGATGCATTGCAAGCAATTGATAACACAGATCGATTTGCATTACTCAATGGTGAGTGTATTAGAGCTTCAGTTCGAAAGTATTTGTTTTTATTTAGACCAGAGAAACGTATGGAACCAAAATAGCGATGATATCGTACACGATTCAAGCACATTCGTGGTAGCTCATTCACATCATGCAGCAATGATTAAAGAGTGGAAACGTGATATTGAAAACAGAAGGGATAAAGCAAGAAATTATTTAATTTCAGGTGAAAATACTGTAGAAATTAGAGATGATGAAGTGCAGATTGAAGCCGTAGCGGTTGAAATACCAACCAGTCCATTTAAGGCACAAACTACTGCAGTGCCACCGGTGACGATAACAACAGCAATCTCATTTCCAACAAAAATGGATATCATCAAACAATTCACATTAAATAGTCAGCAGAAGTATGCTTTTATGATTGTTACTAGTCACCTAGATGGTGAAAACCAAATTCACACGGGTATATATTTTTCAAATTTTTCATTATAAATCGTCATTAGTCATAATCGTTTAGGCTCTGCTGACAACCAGTTATTGATGTGTGTACCTGGTTGTGGCGGCACTGGTAAATCTCAATTGATTCGCGGGATGACGCAATATTTCCAAATAATAAAGAGGGGCAAAATGCTGCGTAAACTGGCACCAACGTCTATAGCAGCAGCAGAAATTGATGGTTTAACCATTCATTCATTTTTAGGCGAAAGTCGCAAAAATTCCAAAAAGAAGCAAACACGAACATTCAGACCCGGCGATACGAAGTTGGAAAATGAATGGCGTCATGTCAAATACTTGATAATCGATGAGATGAGTATGGTTGGACTTAGTCTATTAGCTCGTCTCAATCGTATAGTGAAAATAGCAAAGCATATCAATTCAGATATTCCTTTTGGGGGTGTAAATGTGATTTTTTTGGGGGCCTATCTGCAATATTCTCCAGTGTTGGATAGACCTCTCTATCACAGCTGTGCATCGTCTGAACAAATTACGGAACGTCAAATAGATATGCAATGTGCACAGAAACTTATATCTCAAATGAATTGCGTAGTTGAATTGAGCCAGCAAATGCGAACCGAAGACCTCCGATATTTAGAGCTTTTAAACAGATTGAGAAGCGGGCAATCAACAATTGAAGATTATCAACTTCTTTGTACGCGTATCATTGGAAATCCAAAGCTACAAGCATCTTTGCAACAGAAGCCATGGAATGAAGTAGGTTTGGTCAGTATTTTTTTCTATATGTAATCATACATTCTTTAACAGGCTCCAATACTCGTTTTTCGAAACACACTTCGCACTCAACTTAACAATCGAGCTGTGTTAAATAAAGCAATGGAAATGGGACTTCGACCAATGGCGTGTGCTGCTCAAGATTATTTTCATGGAAAGATTATAGACGATTTACGGTTACGCAAAACGATTCTTGAATTACCTGACAACAAAACGGAACATCTTCCAGGCTATTTACCTCTTGTACCTGGGATGCCAGTTTTACTTACAGAAAACGTGGCTACAGAGCTCGGACTCTCCAATGGTACACGTGGAATATTCCATCAACTTTTATACGAAGAATCTTCAGCGGATATTCAATTTCAAGACAAGAATTTTCCAAGAAATACCAAGTTTATCACTCAACCAAAATACGCCTTAGTAGAATTTCTCAATTGCAAACTTGATTCTGAACTTGCTGAACTTCAAGCCAAGATCATTCCTATACCAATCAGTGAGCAAACATTTCTGTTTGATGTTAAGGAGCTTCTTGCAGAAAATGTTGCAAAAGCCGCAAAAATTAACAAAAAAAACCACAAAAATCTCAATCAAGCGTAAAGCGCTTCCTTTAATTCCGGCCTACAGCATGACAACACATAAGAGTCAAGGCCAAACGCTTGGCAAAATTATCATTGATCTGGTCATGCCACCTGGTCCAGTCGAAGTCGCATCGGTTTACGTTCCACTCTCACGAGTGAAACGGTTGGATGATTTACTGATCATACGTCCTTTTGAATTCGCAGCTCTTCAAGTGAAACCATCAACAGCACAGCGCGAAGAGCTCAAAAGATTGGACCGAATCGCAAAAAGTACTCCAAAACGCTTTCCAATATCTATGTAGAACAAACATTCTTTAACAATCACACGATTTTCGAACTAATCTTACAGCTAAAACATATTTACTATGCATTGCATGTTTCATTTGTCTTCCATTTTATCATATTCTATTAATATTTAATAAAACTTGTATGACTCACTTCTTGAAATGAAAACTGCTTACCTATACATCTTACAATCAGTCAGAAACATTCGATCGTATTAATACCTCAGACTACATACTAACATTTCAAAGTACATAATACCATAGTTTGCAAGGATAAATGAACTTCCCTGTACCCATAAATATTTAGAAAACGTATACAATTCTTCATCAGATACACTTTCAAAACCTTCGGTCAACCCTATCCCTATTGATATTGTTTGAGGTTAATTAAGCTTATGCATCTGCTTTCCTATTGGACGAATGAACGAACGCATTCAGCTCACTTTTCGGAAGACCCTCCTTTCAATAGAGGGAACTTCAAACAACACAAAAGCGTTCATATATAATTTTAAACTTGATTATTCAATAATAAGTATGGTTTGCAGAATTGTAATGAAACAAGACTAGGTTGCCTATCAGACTTTGGCAAGATACGTGGTCCTCTATAGCCTGAATCTAGAGTTGACGCAAGGTTATCTAATCTCTTAAATAGTTCAGTTGTTCCAAACCGGGTGATTGATATTTTTCGACGGATGCAAATGGATAAAATCAAGATGCAAACTACTAATATTGTTATACACACGAGGTATGTGAACTTATGAAACAGTGTTAATATTAACAGCCAATACATTCGTTTTCAACGGGACGAGCTAATGTAAGATTTCAGGAGCTGATCAATAATTTTATTCCTTTTTTCAAGATTTTCATTAGATGAATCTTCCTCTTCAATCGTTAGAACCCGTATCATCAAAAAAAGATTATATTTAACTAATCATGAATTTAACATACGAGACATCGTTTTCCTTTTCTCTATGAGTTTGCAAATAATTGACGGCAATATTTTTCTTTTTATATTTCATCACTTCTAATAGAGAGTACCACATTGACTAGTGATCCACAACAGATTAGGTTACATTTTAGATTTAATATTTTAACAGTTATCTTGCATACAAGTGAGCCATCTTGCAGGAGCACCTGCTATATCTACAATACGTTCAACGAGTCTACCAGTCTGCTGACAATTCTTACGAACTAGCGTCTCTTCTCCTATTCTTCTTGGATCGAGACCCATGTGAACGATATTGTTTGATCCTTGGACATCAGGATTATTTTCAGAGCCATCAAAATTTAAAATTCACTGTTTTGATCTTGTAAAATACGTTGAATTAATTAAACTGGGTATCATGGTAAATTTCAAAAGAATATAGGCGACTATGTTGTGATAATCAAGACGAAAATGTGAGGCACAACTAAGTGTGGGATATCTATATTAATAGGGATCAAATTTTCGTAGGCTAAGATCATCATCTGTCTTTTTTCATAAACAAAATAAATAAATATCATCATTAGAGATCTGCATCATTTCTTTTCGTGTTTTCGCAGCGGTACCACTTGAGACTGTAGTCTAAATTTGTTATAAGTGTCAACAAAGTAAATTATTTAGTGTTCGTTCGTCTCCAGATGATAGTATTTTTGACACTATCTTTGAAGATGAAGCACTACTAATAAAAAATGTTTATAGTAAAAATGTAGAATCAACCATATTGTTTCTTTCAAAACTCAAACAAATTTTTCGTTTGAACTTTCATCAGCTAATGATCAACATCACTAAGTGTTGCAAAACATATACTCGACGTAGACCGTTTTAGCCTATTGGAAAAGAGAAAATAGGTTTTTCAAATCAACTCTAATCTAAAGATATATCTTTTGAAAATCATTTCAACTGCTTTAATAGAAAAAAATCAATTAAATCAATCCTAACAGTTGTATTTGTTCCAATTTCAGTAATCAAATAGAAATTTTATTTCATATGTATCTTATGATAGAGAATCCTCTTATGTTTTTCTTCAATTTATATCTAAACTTTGCAGACTCTTTTCTTCTAAATTCAGAATAAATCACTCTGAGTCATCATTACTTAATCATCATAATAATTATTATAATTTGTGATCATTTTTATTGAAGAATGTATGCATCATTTTATCATAAGATTTAGCCTCTTTGCTATATGCGAGCTATTCTTATTTTTATCTCTCTCATAGGTCATTTTTATTTCATTAGTCAATCTTCATTTCATTCAGTCAATACTCAAATAATTTATTGACAGTTTTCATCATTAGATAAGATCTTCTGCATGATACATATTTATACACTTAATCAATCGTTTTGTTTGATCAACGAATAATAAAAAAAAAATATATATTAAAAGAACAGAAAAATTCATTTAAGGCATTGAATCAACATCGAATCTCATATGCGATACGACAAAATGAATCAATACAATAACAATCGATTTGCTAATGGTCAATTTAATTTTAATAATGAAGGTGATCTCGATTATTTTTGTTGCTATGAACAACAATTCTATTGTCGAAGTAAAATAATCTCTGTTTTCGTTATTAATTACTGAGTGCATACGTGAAAAACATCAAGAAGTTCACTGAAAATTCAAGCAATCTTTTATCCTAACAGATACTGGTCGGCAGAAGCGAAAAAGAATTAGCTGAGGAACCGCTTCTTTTTTAAGTATTTTGAATAATTATATTTGAAAATATCTAGAATATTATTTAGATTTTCAACTGCCTTACTTTCAGAAAGAAAGCAACAGTAGGAAGACAGGCGAAGTGATGTTTCTCCGTTTTCATCTTAAATTATTCCTATTCCTCGAAACTAAAATTATTTCAATTATCGTTTTCGTTGTTACTTCATAAAATAAATGAAAATAAAACGCATTTTTTATTTCAAATAAATGATTTTGAATCTATATAGTAATATCAAATCATACGCCGAATAATTTGCAAATCATTCTATATATCAATACATCATGTAGAATATTTCAATAAGATTCAAATTAATAACAGATTAAATAATTTAAATAGAAAAAGGTTGAAGTAGCATTATTTATTTTTATTTTCCGAGACAAGCTTGGCAAAGCAGCATTTCAAGCATGAGATAAATCAGAGGAGAAATATATTCATAAGAACAATTCAAAAGAGATGAATCATAGAAACAGTTGGGTAGAAAAAGTTCGTTTAAATATTGTGTGGAATAGCAAAGAGACAGAACAAAATAGAATCACAACAATATTCACAGTATTGAAACGATTATCATTTAAAATAAAATATTCTAACATAATGTCTACAGATGACTTTTACGTTAGATTAATAAAAAATTTAATCTATTTATTTTATGATGATGAACTAAAGATAATATTCCATAAATCATTTTGTAAATTTTTCGTTCCATTGAATTATTTCTGTTCTGTTCTTTAGTTTGTATCTTTCACAGTTAATATTTATTTATGGATACACAAAAAATGATTAAGTTACGGTCAACACTGTATTTTGATCAGAAAAATCAGCAAAAAAATGAAAATGAAATATTTCCTCAATTCTAAATGGCAATCTGTTTCAGATTTTTTCTCTTCAAAAAAAAAATGAAATTTATATATCGATCTAGACAAATTGAATTTTCTTTTAGAAATGCGATCAAACAATAATAATGATATTTTCTTTTCTTTTTTTTTGTTTGTAATTATACATATAATATTTAAACGAGTCGTTTCTGTATACCCATAAATACATAAAGATATATAGGGTGAATTCTAGTGAGATAATAATTCTTTCTAATAACATAAGAATTCAATCGAATTTTTCCAGATGATTGAACATTTTATGTTGAACTAAAGAGTACTCAATAGATTCAACAGTAAATTATATAATATGTAAAGATGAGATTTCATTCTAATTCAATCGACTTGATTTGACAACAAAATTCGTCAAATCAATCTCAAGAGAAGATTAACCGAAATGTAAAATTACTATTGAAGGAATTCAAGTGATTTTTTCACGAAGATTATATATAAATAGTGTATATTCACGTACGCTATTCGACGGCATGACAATGGTACATGAACAAAAATTGATAAGCTTTCATTCTATGTTCTATTTCATTTCATAAACTTTTGTATTATATTCATATTAAACTAGTTAAAATGATCTGCATACTACAGTAATATGATTTCTGATGATTCTACTTGAAGAAGATGCACAATGTCCTTTTATAGGTGCATTTCTTCAACTAAATTCTTTAAATCGATTTCATTCAAACAAGAAATATCGTATCAACATTTAAATCATGTCAAATGCCTAGAGTCATGTATTTTATCTATGTAGTATTAATTTGACTACAATAAAGCTAAAATTATTATCAATTGATTGTGAAAACTTTCTACTCATTTGAATAATCAAACCAATCAGCTATCATTTGTTTTTCCTCAAAACGTAAAAGAAATGCTATTCATTTAATCGTACGTATGAACATCCAATCGTTATCAGCTTATTAACAAATAATCATTGTCCTATGTCGTAAACATAATGATTTATTTTTTTGTACAGTTGACTTTCTCTTTTGATTACAAATATCACAGTAGTCTAACTTTATGAATAAGAATGAAACAAATCATTCAATCTATGATGATCATTCGTATCTTTTCTACTGATCTAACGAATTGTTATTGAGGATTTGTCTAGTGAGTCACCTTTTTTGCTATCGTAGTTCGCTATATTATGATTATAGCGTAGCAAGTACTACTGAATAGAAAAATAACATCAATGACTCCTCGTGTAGAGTTCTCAAGAGAAATTCATACAACTATCATGAACCAATAGTATATGATTAATATCTATTTTTGTTGCATCATTAAAACAATCAGTAATAATCATTGGTGCGCGAGCAACACTAAGTAACATTTACTAGTTTCGATAACTTTATGCTCGATACATGCAATCGGATAGAGTAATACATAATCATACAATAGTTGATGTTAGTCTTTATCAACGTTTTTTTTTTACATTGAAAAGAATTCATCAAATATTTATGAATACTGTATACTGTATTATATTTAAATGCAATATAAAAGTTATGCCAGATATAATAACATCTATGTGTTGGTTGAACTTACTTTTTGAATATCGTGATGAACTTTATTTGTCTTGATACGAGAATATAGAATTTTAATACCAAACAAAAAAAAAGATTCTATTTATTAAAGTACTATTTTTGTTGTTGTTGTTGTTGTTGTTGTTGTTGAGATGAAGTTGCTTGTTGTTTTGGAGACAAGCCCACTCAAACAGTTTTATAAAATAAAGAATTCATTCAATATTTTATTTCAAATTGATGCATTGTAATAGATGAAATGCTTTTAGAATATTGTAAAAGAATTCGAACAAATACAAAATGTAAAAACTAAATAATAAATGAAACTAGAATGTTGATAGGTGAAATAAAAAGCAATATAACTTTTTTTATAAATAATTAGAGTTATAAAAAAACAAGTCGAATATTTATGTCGTTTATCATCAGACATATATATTCATTCATAAGAGGTAGATTATACCGTTTATTCCAATATGAAACAGAATTTTAAGAAATCTTTTGGAAAAGCAACACCGATTTCTTTTCTTCTCCGGATTATATGATTGCTTATTTTAGTTTATTCTTTGCAAGAATTATTTTTCTCTTGAATATCGCATCTAGTGATCACTAAAATACAATGATATCAATTCATCTCATTTTTGTGAATACCGACCATTGTCATTTTATTTGATACCAGTGCTATTGAAATTCATCAATAAGCTCCTAAATCTAATTATATTTTCTGATCGCATGACGTTCAACTGAAATATTCCAATTCAAATAGGTGTTCTTTTTTTTTGAGACGCTATGCAGAGAAATACAGAAAATTCACATGAGAGATAATACATGCTTATTTAAACTGTGAACAGTTTTTTCATAAAACAGCTTCACTCAAAAGAAATTTCGTTATCTGATTCTCTTTAGTTAATCACCCTTGAAAAAAAAGATCCTTTTTTTTCACAGAGACTATAAAAAGATTAATTCCCTTCAATATTCATTGAAAGCTTTCCTAGATGAAATATAATAAAACACATTTGTTATTCCTACGCTTTTTTTTCTTCGATTCAAACAACAGTTTATATCGTGTTAATCAGTGAATTTCTGCTCTCTTCAATATATCTTGCTTGTTCATGTACAGATGCTGTATCATTTTTACATTTAGCTATACTTTAATATGATACAAAGACAAAAGCTATCATTAAATTTCAACTAAACTGATAATTTTAGCAATGCATAGTTGAACTGAGCAAAAGAATACCCATAGTTCTGTTGTTAAAAACATTGAATTTGTATAAAATAAAAACTTAAAGTATTCTCATATTTTCATCTTTTTTGATATTCATATTATTTGTTCAATCGTATCATTTGAAAAAAGCTTCTCTTTCGATCTGAATATATGAGTTGAACATTACCAGTAAATTAGAATAAATTATTCTTGATCGTATTTCCTAATCCATTTCGAACAAAACTAATCGGAGATTGTTCCATTGATGACAAATTAAATGGATAAAAGATTCAAAATATTTTTTTGAGCACTAGATTAGATTTTTAACATTTCGTTAAAGTCTGATATCTTATTTATAAATGTTCGTTTTTAGCTGCGTAAACGTGTTCTATGTTTGTTAATAACGATGGTCTATATTAATTCTAGTTTTAACATAAAAAAGTCTACAACAACATTGTCATCATTATCATCATCGACATCATTCAAACAATTAGATTTTTTATTCCTCTAAGATTATAGCTATGTATGTTGCTGTATACGAACAAAGCTTATCATACATATGTATCAGAACGCAACAATTATTCAGAGGAAGAGAACAACACAGCGAACAAACTATCATTTTTACGTTCATTGGGAAATTGTTTATTTTAAATTTTTACCCACTTTGGAAACTGATCATTAAAAGATAATTAGTACTTCTTGTTCAGTTTTTTACTCTTAATCATAAAATTCAGATCTTTACATGAGATTAAAATTTCGAACAAATGAACGTATAGCGAATTTGAAAGAAATATTTGCATAATTAACTTTTTTTTTTACATCATGCACAACGAAAATCTGAAAGAGAGCATTTTTTTCTACATCAACTACATCATATGAATTTGTTCTGGCATATTGTTAAATTTATTATATCAAATTATTATCGTGTGAAAGTGCAAAAGATGATCGTGCATCATTAATTCAGTGATATCTATTTCTCCTGTACCCACTGTGAATGTATAATTATATTTGCTTTTCGATAAGCAATGATTTTTCATCTATCGCAAGAACTTATTGATTCTCTATTTTTCTAATATACTTTGTCATTAGCAGTGTCATGTGTTCTGTATCAAATCATTCTTTAAAAGCTGTAGCACTGGAAGTGTTCGATCATTATTAAGATAAAACAAATTATTGCATAAGAACTACTTTAAAATAAACAATCAACTTGATCGTTTTACCTTTAAAATAGCGAGAAAAGTGTCTGGATTTTTTCTCAGATTGTTGACAATATCATTCCCAGTAATTACAATCATCAATTGTTTCGTTTTCTAGTTTTCATTTGACAAGTGTTTATATGGTTGCATATGATAATTATGCGGGAGACAAAAAAAAGACATTAGCTTCTCTAGCTAAAAAAAGCAATTAAAGTTTTGTTAAATTATTTTTACTTACTTCATCCAGATGTATAAGCATAAATTTTATCCATAAACACGTACATATATATATAATGCACATGAGCTTTCTAATTATCATTCTGATTATAATCACATTTGGTAAGGTTGAGTCGAAGTGTGTATAACACCTATTGAGTTCTTATGCACACTTAATAGCTCTATCAGTAATGAGCGATTTGAAAATTCTGTTGATTCTTACTTTCAAATCCTTCTGCATTGATTATTCATATCTATTTCTAGATATCCACGAACAAATACTTGAATTAAACTTTTGCACTTAGCTTTCTCAATGTTTAACTCTAAAATAACTAACAATAATGAACAGGTATCAGTATTAACATATTTTTTATTACTAAAGACAAAAATTCCGTTAACGTCAATGTCATAAATGTTTCTATATGATATACAGCGTCCTAGCGTCCTATCAATGTCAAAGATGCTAGGGCGCTGCATTTGATGAAGAGAATTTTTTTTATCAATGATAGAATATTTCCATATAACATGCGGCGTCCTGTTGATATCGAAAACGCTAGGATGTTCTAATCTATTAAGAGAATGTTCTGTTTTTAATTAGCTACATGAGAATTTCTTGATGTTCATTTGATTGTGTATGATGATGTTTATGTTTATCTTTTTTCAGTCATCTATGGATACTGATTCAAATGAAAAAACAAATTGTTGCGTTGACGGTTGTCCATCCAATCTCAACAATAATTCTCTTTGTCTTACTCAGACAATAGAGTTCGCTTGTGAAAATTGTACAAAAAAATTTTGTTTTACTCATTTTGTTGATCATATGAAAAAAGGAGAAGAAGATCCAAAGTAAAAAAGATAAAATTAGTTCTGTATGAGTAATATTGTGCTATTTTAAGATCAAACAAAGTATCATGTAACTCAACTTCTAATCATTTGTGTTCAACTGGCTTAGCTATAATATCGGGTCCGCTATAAACTTTTTGAATCTAAATTATAAAAGACTAATTCTTTTTTTTTAGACAAAGAAGCCCTGGTACTTCAACCAGTGGCTACGTCAACACCTATTAATTTAATAGAGTTGAATTCATCATTAAAAGGCGACATCGTTGAAGATGAAAATCACCTTATTGCAAATAATGTAATCGAAGTTATGGATTCAAATATGAGCAACCAGGCTGATATACTCATATCAAATGACGTTGATTCTAAATTAGAATCAACTATAAAAGAAAAGCCTTATGTGCAAAAGCCAAATCAAACTGTAGAAAGTGAAAACTCGCTTAAAGAAAATACTGAAAGATTAAATCGATCAAACTTTTACCTTAAAAATATAACGACTTCTATGAATTACATGCAGGTTTTTATTTCGATTGTAACAAAGTTTCCATTAATTCAATTGAACGCAACTGATAAATCACCAAGAATTAAATATTTATGTGTAGCTGGTAATTGTTTCTTTTTATAATGAATGATATCATTAGACAGTAAACTCTAGATACATCAATATCACCGAATGAACAACTGGTTTCAATACAACTTAGCTTTGAAAACAAAGTTAATTTTAAGCACAAATTTCTGAATAATCTTTTTCCTGGTAAAAATTTCAGTTTAACACACTCTACATAAACATTCTCTTTGATAGATTTGAAACTATCAGATTACTTACTCATTGCAAATGGTGACCTTTTTAATGAGGAAATTAAATCTTTATCTCAAGAAAGATACATTGAATCATCAGTTCGTTCATCTAAAAAACAAAAATCATTATTCAAAGATTATTATCGTGAAAAACAGCAGGAAGCCGCCTCGACTGCATTGAAGCAGCCATCACTTGCTAATGGTTTACTTAATTTAATATTTATGTCATCCATCTAATGATAACTTTTCTCTTCTAGCCGTTGCTGTCATAAAAGATACCTTTCCATTTGAGTATCTGACTTTTGGAAATCAAATGAGAGGTAATATTGAATATGAACTCCAACAGATTGAAAAGCAAAAAGAAATTGAATATAAACCAGTGTATGATTCAACATCATTTAAGTAAAGATTGTTTTTACAATGATTTCTTGTGATCTTTTTCTTTTTCATTATAGAATTCCTGAAGAGCATCGAAACAAAATAAAGGAATGGCTGGAGTATGATTTTCACATGCGTATTGAAGGAAATATTACTCGATCAAGATGCTTATTCTTGATTGGACCAACTCAACATGGTATTTAAGTTAAATATTTCTAATCTATATTAGCCTGTTCACTACCGCTTCCGTCATATTGAAAAAACAGTGATACGCAAGAGAATCTTTTTTCGCTCTGCTGTATCGATAGGCGCATATGGAATGAATATTAGATGAACAGCAGACACTTTTATGAGTCAAACAAAGCATTTGCGCATATATGATCAACAGTAACAGGAAGAAGAGATGCGCGATGCCTTTTGTTCTTCACTTTTTGATGTTCATGCACGATGAAAGATATTGTTATTCTTCAATGTGTTAATCACACAAACTAAAGGGTTCTATCTCGTCACGGATAAATGTAGATCAATACTGACAGTATTGTTGCGTTCCAAGATGTTCGAATTATTTCAAAATTCATGGAAATAACAAGGCTTTGTGCACTATTGGCTTATCGTAATAATTGCAATTGAGTGCAAAGAGCGACATCACTAAAGATTAGTCTGAAGTGAATGAACGATGACATCAATGTATGGCATTCATCTGTTCTCTTCATTTTGACAATATCTGCGGCTGCTTTTTCAAAGATGAAAAGATAGACAACGCCTGTTTATAATAAGATAGTTTACTATGAGAATTGTGTTTTTTTTTATCAGAAATGGCTATTAGAACGCTTTCAACTTAAATTCCATAATGATCATTACCATTAACAACAGAACAAATATCATAAAAAATGCTGTTGATAAAGACAAAAAAATTGACATATTTTTGACAACTAAAACTTCAAGTGAGGATCATCAAACTAACTTTTTTACGTATTGTTATTGACAATACAATTCAATACTTAGTTTAGAAAAAATGTGACGATCTAAACAGCTCGTGATCCATTATAAACTTACTTGAACCTCATAATTTCAAAAATCTGACAACGCCATCGTGTTCCCCGACCACGATTACCTTCGGTCAACCCTTACGAAAAACTATTTTTTTTTCTAAAAAAGTCTCACTCTCTCTTAAAAAAAGGAAAAAGCAAAATTTCAAAAATCTGACAACGCCATCGTGTTCCCCGACCCCGATTACCTTCGGTGAAACCTGTCTCTACAGATATTGTTTGAGGTTTGTGAAGTTTATGCATCTGCTTTCCTATTGG